TTAAATAACTACTAATAATTTCTCCAAATTCCTGATAATTACCATCAATAAAAAGCTATACGTGGTAAGACTAAACGATTCTTACAAAACGTCATCACATTTTGTAATGGTTGACATTATATTTAAAGATCCTAATGATCATTCCTTTATTAGTTGAATCTTGTAAATTTGTCATTTTTGTGTGCCCAAACTGGTTGGAGAGTGGCAGTTACATATGGTTACCCTAAGAGTCCGCTGAGTAATGCAATGTTGAAATTCTTAGATCAGTGCAGCTCTGGCCCTCATTGGAGACGTTTCTTTTTGCAGTGGACAGCAGTTAACACAGAGACTCACAACTGATCAAAATGCAGAGAGTAAGTGACTGTGGAGTGCTCAGCTATAAATGGGACATCGATAGTACACCCTCTCCCCACAAAGCTCAGGGAATAATGTAGAAAAGGGGGCAGAAAGATTTTCCAAGAACCGAGGTTCATAAGGACTGTTGCAAAACTGTTTTCTGGACATGACATGGCATGCACCCTCAAGAATCACAGCAGTTGTGGTTGTCTGCATAGGACCTGCACAAGATCAAGCTAGTAGCATTCTAGCATAGGCTGGGGAGAAGATCGTGAGGCCACACCTCTAGCTGAGGAGTTACTGGCAGTTGAATCCTGCTGGGAAAGGGAGTGTTAGCTTTCTTCCAGAGAGTTGGCCCTGGTTGGTTATATGTATAATATGGATGGCCTTATACCCATGCACATATAGGCAGCACTAATTTGATTCAGTGGGTTACAGAAAAAAGAAGAGGACATGAGATTGGGAAGGAAATGTGGTGGGAGTCCAAGGGGAGTTGGAGAAGGGAGTGGAGGATGGATATGATCAAAATACAGTGTATGAAATTCTCAAATAAATAAAAATATTATATTTTGAAAAGCCATTAGATTTTGAATCTAATTCAATTTTTCATGCAAACCTCTAATTTTCAGCATGTATGTGTTAAAGAAAAATCCCCACAGCTGGCAAGGAGTTCTTTGAAAAGCCCCACCAGCTGTAAGTAGAGACAGGTAACAACAGTGTATGAAAACAGAGAATTGGGACTAGGCTTGGATATATGTTGGCCCAGTCTCCTCATCAGTCCTATTCAACCTTACCTGATGTGGTCATTGGGAACTTGGAACCCAGACTCTTCTTTATCAGCAACGGGAATTCCCTGATAGGCTCCAGACACTCCAGGTCCCATGTGACTCTTCCGGAAGCTGACAGATTGTCATTTCACATATGGCCCTGGCATGTTGTTAGGGAGTTCTGATTTATAAAGAACACAACACATAGAAGGAATCAGCTTAAATCTGTGAATGTTTGAGATCTCTTAGCTGTCAGTTATATTTGTCTGAAGAATTTAACCTTAGTCTTCTTCCAATTCTGGCCCAAGACTGTGTGCCATTTCTTGGAGGCTAGATCCCATTTTTTTCTTTAGGTAGAAATGTTTCATATCTTTTCACCTTTCCAAAGCCCACAAAATTCTGGCTTCTTGGACCAGTAAGTGAAATACATACTACCTAGAGGTGTGTTTATCTCTTGATCTCAGCTACACCTGCTCTAGCCAAAGCTCTGAGACCTATCTTTGGTTAAGTAAGAGACAAATGAATTATTTTTGCTAATCTAAAGAATCATTGCCCCATATAAGAAATTCTGCTAAGGTCTTGTTGATAGTGTTTTTATTCATGTCACAGACAGGATCACAAATGAGTTGGTGGGCTCATCTGAAAGTCTGGAGTCAGATGGGATCTCTGCCCATTCTACCATCTGTTACTGATGGAAGGACTTTCTTCATGATGTCCATTGAAGGCAACGAGCATTAGGAATGATGAACTGCTAAGAGGCAAAGCCACCCTCAAATCTTTCTCCCCTTTTATGGTTGGCAAAGGAATTTAAGCAGCATGAGGTAAGGGGAAACAGAGCTGATTAGTTATAACTTTGAGTGCTCTACACCCAGTATGCTGGTACAGGTAGAACCTGTGGATAATTCAGTCCAGTATATAACTTTTCATGGCACCAGGTCTGAAAGGCTCCGTTCTCCTTCCTCCTTCTGCTCAGTGGGAGACTTTCTGTCATGCTTTGGTCAGGCCTGAGCTCTGCACCTACATGCTGAAACCAGCTTCAATGGTTTTTACAAGAAGGAAAGTTGTCATTTTATGGTTCCTTTTCCCTGTCTTGCTATCTAGGGCAGCTTGCTCCACTTCCTGTCTTGGATCTCTCATCTCTGAATGAAGATTGATGCCACGGGGCTGCAAAGAATATTAAATGATAACATAGGTAGACACTGCTGAGAACTGTGCATAGCACAGGAACAGTCCAACAGCACTTGGAAAGTACTAAGGTTGAAATAGGAGAGGGAAAATCTTAAGATGGTCTTATTTAAATCCTCTCCCTCCCCCTACTTCTCTCTCTTCCAAAACTTAATCATGGCTATTGCCCTGATCTGTGCCTGAGTCAGCCCTGTTCAGTACAGAGAAAATGAAGTGCATGAAAAGTCAATTCCTGTGCCACTTTAGAATCTGCAAAATATTTCGAAGCAAGCAAACCTCACCTCATTTTACTTGCTACATGTTAAAGCGATGGACCAGAAGAACAAAAATACTCCTCTTTCACACAAAAATGGATAAGAAGTACCTATTGTTAACCATAGGAACAATCATGTATAGAGTCTTATAAAATGTTTTCTGGTAATTCTAGTGTACTGATGCATGTTCCTTGAGAATGTTCAAGGGAAGAGGAGAAAAGTGCACCAGTGAACCGATAGCTCTTGTTTTAAGTACCCTTATGTCTTTACTTATTGATAAGCACTTCAGCTACCTGACTTCATAGAAGCATAATGACACCAAGGTAGACCTTACTGAACCCAGTTTACAGGTGGCATTCCGTGATCATAGACCTAAAAAATTTCAGAACTAAGATTTAGATTCAAGTCCAACCTGGACAATAAACTCCAGTGTCACATATTTCCATTAGCAACTAATTATGAAGCTATAAATTTGGAGAGTATAAGTAATTTCCTATGCAGAAAAGATTAAATTCTCTTACATCTACATTATATACTGCAGATACTAGTTTTTCATGACCTTTGTAAGAGGCACACTAAAATTGAATACATTTTAAAATCATGAGAAACCAAACATAATTTGAGTAATAACTGTTTAGAGTAACACTTTTATTTAAGTAGCTAATGACTCAAATTAAGAATTTCATGGATTTTGTAAAAAAAAAAAATATGGAACAATCAGGAGAAAACATGCAAATGCTCAGAGGAACATTTACACACACAAAAAAAATAGGAAACAAACTCCCAAAACTCAAATCAGGAAACAAAACAAATCCTATTGAACACATTGAAAACCCAATTTAACAGTGGTTTATTTGTATTAATTAGAAAGTTTTGGTTAGACATAGTTACATTTTAGAAGAGGTACAATTTCCTTTTGTGTGCTCAAATGATACAGACAATAACAGAAAGCTAGTGATTTCATATCATGCCTCTCTCCTTCCCTGAGTAATTCTGACATCTATTTTGCTGCATATTTTCTGTAATATTACTGAAATATGCAAATATATAAAGAATATATATGAAGATGCATTGTATTAGTTTCACATTATTCAGCACCTGCATTCTAAACTTATAAACAAAATGTGGATTTTCCTTTAAGACATTAATTTTGATCTTAGCCAGTGGTACCCGATCCTCCATGAGCATTAGAATCACAAGGGGGCTTTGAAAACAGGCAAACTGAGCTCTGCCTTGGGGGATTCCAGTTCAGTTGGTCTGGGTGGGGCTCTGGCATCCAGACTCCCTCACAGACTCTAAAGTGTGGCCAGTTAGAACCACCAATTTAAGCAATCCAAACAGATTGCAAATTCCAGTGGCATGCAAGAATCATTCTGGTATGTACCTTCCCAGAAAGGCCTTCCACTGAAGCTCATTCCTGTAGCTGAAGTTTTAAGTGTTGTCAGAAGTTTGACAAACAGGTATAATTTTTAAAACTCAAACATCATGTTGGAGATAGTCATGACTGCAAAAAATGTTACTACGGCCATGAATTTCAGAGGCCATGTTAAATGGCAGTGTGCTGGTTTATCCAGCACTTGAGTAAGCTCTGGAGATATGTCTTTGCCTGCAGAAGGAGGCATCACAGGAAACCACACCCAGACTTCGTCCCTCCCTGCCCAGCAGAGGTACCTACTCAGTGACTGCCAGAACTCGTTTGGTCTCTCTTGGTTTGGGGTGGTTTTAAGCCCCACAATCAGTTCCAATGGTCGGTTCTGGTGAGCACTTCATTGGCAAGCGTTGGCAGGATCAATCCGTGTTCTGGCTCTTGCTGCATGTTTGAGAAGCATGCAAGGGAATGGAAACCAGATGCGCAGAACAGCAGGGATGTGGAAGTCCTTGCACTGTTTCAGTGCAATAACCAGACGCTGCGTTTTTTTCGGTTTTGTTCCGAATTATTTTGAAAGTTCTGCATTCTCTAAATGACCTTTCACCTTCTTAAAGCACTTAGTTGGGCAAAAGTTTTGAGAGATCAGAAAGATTGTGTTTTTATTTTAGGAGTAGAACTGAAGAAAATAAAAGAAAAAAGAATGAACTTGAAGCAAGCAGACCCTGGCAGATGTTTAGACAAAGCCACGTTATCCTCAGCAAAGGACTCCAAGTCAGAACTGGGTCTTTTCAGAGAGTTCTAGTTCTACAACTTCAATATTAAATTTTTAGATTTAATCTCTTTACCCTCCAAGAAATCATTGCCAGTCTAGGTAAATGAGTAATTGTTCAGCAAAGTCAAAGTAAAGTAAGGACATCAACGGGACACCCTGGCAAAACTGTAATCCAGAGGGGACTGCCGGGCTCTGGGTCACTGGGACATCAGCGCTGGGCGGACCCGCAGCTCGGTTCCACAGCTGGAGTTGGAAGCCAGGCAGCTGCCAGGCTCCGCCCACTGACGACAAGGGGCGGTGCAGCAGGCGATTGGCTATCCGCCGGAGGAGCCCAGGGAGGAGAGGAGGACTGAGGGCAAGAAGTGGGTCTCCGGCTTCTCCGGGTTCAGGCTCCCGGACTGGCCTCAGAGTTTGGGAACCAAGAAGTGGGTTTTGTTGTGTTTGTTTTTCTCAGGACAAATGGCTGGTTTGGAAGCGTGACTCCCCCACCCTTTGGATCCCAGCTTGGGTCTTTTCTGCCCCTTGGGACTCGTGGTGACCATGCGGTGATGAGCGCCCAGGGAGGGACAGGTAAGGGGGACGCGGGCGACCTGCCCTGGCTGCGCTTGCCAGGGGCTATGCTGAGGGCTGGGGACTGCTTCGCTTCTCTGCTCCGGCCTGGCACCGGACTTGAAAATGGAGAAGGGGTTACTCCATTTTCAGTTACTTGATTTCTATAGGACATTGCTTTTCCTGAAAGCTGGATTTATGAAAGGTGAATTATGCGTACTTGCACCTTCACACAGGCACGCACACGTTTGTCATTGCCTTGCGAAATCCAGCAGTTTAAAGCTGCTTTGACTGTTTGTACTCCTCCCCTGGGTAACAAAAAGTGTTGATAATCTAGCACAGTGACTGAACCACGGGCTAATTCCTTGGGAAGAAAAAGGGTACCTGTGTTTGTGTTGGTACTTGCTGTGAAACAGTTTTGAAAGGAATGCGTAAAAAATATAGTGCTCCTGCAAACACTAATTTAGTTGTTATTTGGGGCACGCTCCGTCTTACGTTTATAAAACTTGTTATATTTCACCATATTCAGTAGACAGAGACGTGGGCTAGTTAATGAATTCCCCAAATCTGAAAAATCTTTCTTTTTTCTTTCTTTTTTTTTTTTTTTCAATCTTAAGGATGCCTTGGGAGCATGTACTTTTACAAAGAATGTGTTTAAAGTATTCTCATTCACCAGGTATTTAGGGTAATAATAAGACTAAAATTCCTTCTGGCTAGCTCTTTGCAAGGAAGAGACAATGAATCCTTTGGGCTCAGAGCAAGCCTCTAACTCCCACCAACCTTGAAAGATGTTCCAGCCAGGATACCGGCTCTATCTGGCCAGTGTTGCTGTGTCCAAGTTTAAATTGCCCTAGGTTACATTTCTAGGAAAAGTGTCATCAAAGAAAAAAACTTTTTTGATTTCTTACGGGCAAAACTGAAGCTCATGATCTTTGTGTGGAATAGTTCAGTTCCTTCATAAACCCCAACTCTAGTTCGCCCCAAAAGATAAGGGCTTCTTTGAGATTTTTAGTTTCCTTTCAGATACAGACCTTAGAGACCTCCATTGAAATAGCTTGTTGCTATCAAAATGACTTCAAGTTGTGTGTATTGAAAAAGAAGTTAACAACCATCGGTTGCGTACTTAAAAATAACATGGTAACTTAACGTTTGTTAAATTGCGTGGGCGAAAAATTGGATCGGCAGTCTGAAACAGGAAATGGGGAATGCTTGACCCTGGTGTAACAAAAACGAGTACTTCTCACACTTAGTGGCCAGTCATAGGATAGAGGATGGTGTTGAATTTTGTTGATGTATGTAAAATGAAGGCACATGGTCAGAATCTATTTTTTTTTATAGGATCGATGACTCATCTGTTGAACAGCAGTATTTTTTGAAATAACTTAAAAAAAAAACTGTCCACCTATTAAAGCCTTCATTTCATGTTTGACCTGTTGTGTGATAAAAAGCTTTTTTAGATGTTTCTATAAGCAAGATCTCTGAAAATTTAATTGATGAGGATAAATGTAACAAGTCATCAGTGCTGAAGTGAAGAATTTATTAACTCTGGGAACAACGGTAGTTCGCTGGACGCTCTCTCCATACCCGGCTAATTGTCATAGCCCTGAGCGACTTTCCTTATCTATTTATTTTGCTTGGTATTTGCTCAGTGTTATCTTGTGTGGGCTTATTTCAGAAAATGTTTTAACCTTGGTAACAGTACTTTTTATTGATTTTTGTGAATGAGTTGTGGCCTTAATGGAATCTGCCTTTCAGGTCTCAATGAAGAATTTAGTTCTACTTATCTGAGGCACTAGTATGGTAATAAGAATTAGAACCTGGGATTATTTAATCCCAGGTCCAGAAATATACTAAGGAAATTATGTGCATTCCATTTGAAGATTTATAAATATATTCATTGCATTGCTGTCTATAATGTTACAAATATTTGAAATATTCCAATGGTAAGATACTGTAATAAGCTGTTTAATCTGTCTGTCTGTCTGTATCTATCTATGCATCCATCCAGCCATCCAGCCATCCAGCCATCCATCTATTGATCTATCATCTATCTACCTAAAACTCAGTTACCAAAATATTTTCGATGAAAGATTTATGACTTGGAAATATACTTGCAATACTGAATGAAAAAAGGTAGGATTTAGTAGTTTATTGAATGTATGAAATACAAGTTTAAGATCAATGTCTGTAAGATTCATTTACTCACTAAATACTGAGTTTTTACTGCTTGTCAGGCATTGTTCTAGATTAAAACACTGTCCAATGTTGAGCAAGATTGTTCCTATTTGTAAATAAGTAAACAAATTCTCATCAGTGGGCAGTCCACTATTATAATGCATACTAACACACACATGCACACACACACACACACACACACACACATACACACACACACACACACACAATAAAGATTATCTTTGATTTTCCTATAAAATTTTTCTTTATACTCACAAATATACA